ATAGGGCCAAACATAATTTATTATTTAAAAACTACACTAGTTTCATGTTGTTAAATGTTTTTTTATGTTGTATAATTTGTATGTTGGTTAATGTTATTTATGTTATTTCATATTGTTTAATGTTGTTTCATGTTACTTAATTTAATTTAATGTTGTATAAATGGCCTAGGAAAAAAATAGAATTGAAAAAAATTATGAAACAAATTTTGTGAAATAGAAGTTATAGGAAAAAAAATATGAATCAAATTTTGTAAAATAGAAGTTATAGGAAAAAAATAGAATTTAAAAAAAAATTGAAACAAATTTTGTAAAATAGAATTGAAAAAAAATATGAAACAAAATTTGATTAATATGAAAAGGAAAAAAAAAGGGAAAAAAAAAAGTTTAAATTCATTAAAAAAAAAAAAGCCTAATAATACAACGGCTACTAGCCGTTATATTAAAAAACATTCAAACTATTAGTGTCGGTTATAACCGACACTAATAGTAGAACTATTAAAAAAAAAAAAAAACCTCTTTAATGCTGTCGGTTTTAACCGACAGCAATAGAAAACAATAAAAAAAAAAATAAGCCAGCCCGGGGCTGGCTGGCTGGCTGAAAGCAGCCAGCCCTCCAGCCCTCTCCGATCCCGTGGGGCCCTCCCAGATTCCAGAGCCCTCTGGCCTAGCCCTCGGTTGGAGACGGTTTTAGGGCTATTTTCGGCCCTCTGGCCCTCTGGACCCTTCGGTTTGAGATGACCTAAATACTTGATTTTTTTTGTCAAACTAAAAATTTTGATTTATTGATTTGATTCAGATTTTTCGCCATCATCCTTGACTTCCTTTATTAATAAATGCAGTTGAATGGAAAACCATAACAAAAAAATATTAGTGAAACGTTGAGAAAAAAAATGCAAAATCCATGGTCTATCATTATGCAAGTTGCAAAGTCATGAGTATATACCAAATAATTATAAAATGATTGTACCTAAATATATGTATCGAAGTATGTGTACCGAAGTATGTGCATCAAAGATGTGCATCGAAGTATGTGTACCGAAGCATATAAATGTACTGAAATGCTTCTTGTTGAGATCACTATTGTTGTGAAATGGAAAACCAAATGGAAAAAAGGCTTCATATATTTAGGTATAACAATCACCAAATGGAAAGTTCCATTCAGATTAATAGAATTTTTTGAGGCAATTCAAACTAGAAGATGCAAAATCAAAATTCATAAAGTCCAAGTTTTTATTTCGGAGACTGAAAGAGAGTGTTTCTGATGGAGATAATGTGAGCCTTTGGCCGATGCCATGGAGAGGAGTGGTGATCACCGATTCACCATGGAGCACTATGGGTGGCTGTCAGGTAGGAGGGAGGGAGGGAGAGGGAGAGAGAGATTGAGAGAGAGAGGATCATCACCTTATATCAAATTCTGCAACATTTCTCAAATGAGTACTAAATTAAATGCAAACATTTGGATTTCAAATGAGTAATAAATTTTGCAACATTCCTCATAAAATCAATTATTGTTCACAAGGATATAATTGGAAGAAAGAAAACCATAAAATCAATGTAAAATGGGTAAATATGACATGGAATATGTATGATGACATGTAAACCGGATCAAAGGACTAAATTCAATTCTTAATCTTATACCGGGTATTCATCAAAAGTTAATCTTATTCAAGGATTAGACTCTATTTTCCTATTTTATTTTCTCGTTCATGAGTATTTACAGTCTCCCAGAAGCAATAAGTTTGGAAGCCTATATGCATCACAATTCTTTTGGAAGAAAAAGGGGATCAGTCTATACACGATGGAAATAGAAAATGTATTATGAATTTTGTGCTCTTTGGAATGTTGTACGAATTGTGATTATCTTACTAAAATCTCTACTATGGGAAACATTGGTTGGGCATCCGAAAGATCTTGGAAGACCAAATGAAATTCGAGGACGAATTTTCTTCGAGAAAGGTATAATGATGTGGGAGCAAGCATACACCTTAGAAATTGCTCACATGCATTGGAATTGGAATAATAATGACAATGCACTTTTAATTACTTATAAATTTGTTAAGTCCATTTAGAATATAGTGAGACTCTTTTAGGAAGTTGTAATTCATATATGCTTCCTTTATCTTTGCTTTAAATTATGATGTAATACAACAATTTGGCAGACTTGAATGAATTAAAATATTATTTGCTTTGTGCAATTGAAGTTGTTTCTTCTTCTAAAATCAAGCATTTGACTTGGTCGTGTAAGCGAATCCACAATTAGCAACGTCAAGTGAGTTCTGTTGCCCCTAGTTGAGCGATTCCCATGTTTCTATCCCCTATCTTTTCGAGACACCTTGTTTTCTTTTTTGCATCACAATGTACCTTAAGTTTGATAGAATCACAATGGGAAGCAATGAACTCTCCCCTTGATATTGTTCACTCTCCAAATCATGTCGGTATTATGTTGTTATAAACTAATTCTACTAAAAAAGTATACAAAACTTATTCTACATGTATTTGAAACTGATTCTGCAAAAATGGTCAAAGATGGGTTAAACTAATTCTACAAAAATGATTGATGACGGGTTGAATTGATCTGCAACAATGGTCGAAGACTGATTGAACTGATTCTGCAAAAATTGTTGAGGACAGGTTGAACTAATTCTGCAGAAATGGTTGAGGACAGATTGAACTGATTCTGCAAAAATTGTCGAAGACGGGTTGAATTGATTATGCAAAAATTGGTCTAGGACTGATTGAACTGATTCTGTCAAAATGGTCGAGGGCGGGTTGAACTGATTCTGTATATAGTTTCAAAATTGATTCTGCAAAAATAGGTAAGGATGAGTTGAGCTTATGACACATATTAATTTTGTTGAAGTTGTGAGAGTTGGGTTCTATTAACAGCCAGCCTTAGGGGTATAACTGATATTTTAAAACATTGTCTCCATGTTTTTTAGCTGGACTTTAGTTGTTTTTATGTTTTTGTCTCTATATATAAAGCTCCCAAACTAAAACCTTCACTAAGATAATAAACTAATTCAGTTTTTTTATTCATGTCCAAGTCAGCTATTACATTCCGTATTTAGCTTTAATTTTTTTTATGTAATTTTCACTATATTTTTCTTTGTATATTACCTTGTGAATTAAAATGTCTAAAAATTAGTGTATATTATTTTTTTTTTGGCAAGAAAAGCATCATATATTTAATTTATTTAGCAGCATTTTATTTTTTATTATCTAGATACTAATAAATGATGGTCACTTTGACTTAAAAAAAGTTCATATTTGAAAATAATCATTTACTTTTAAAGATAAAATTGCTATTTTCACTTGAGTTATGTGATATATTTTTTAATTAATAATGATGTAGTACATGATAAATTTTTTTTTTAAACAAACGATATTATCTCTACTAATTGATAAAATACTCATTGTTAACCAAAATCCTATAAAATTACTAGTTTAACCCTCTAATTAAAAAAAAATTTGAATAAGAAATATGGGACATAAATGTAGTTTCACACAACCAAATTTTGCTGTTTTTTTTTTCAAAGCCTCACCTACATGTAATCATAACATATCTTTAATTTAAAAAAAAAAAAAAGCCTTCCCTCTCCCACATTCTCTATCACTCTCTTCCTCTCTCCTTCTATTTCAAAAACAAAAATAAAAAATTTTCTCACACACTTTATGTGTGCCCATATGCTAATATATAATAAGAAAAGAAGATGGACTCACAATCAGATAGTAATAATATGATTCAAACCATTCATGACAACTATTAATAATCGTGATTCATGCATGCACCATTTATTTGTTTAGATAAGAAAAGGCTAAAAATGTAAGAAGAAAAGCGGTAATTGCCTTTGTTTTTTAATGAATTTAGATTTGACATGACCTTAATTTGGTCCAAGCTTAATTAGCATGATCAAAAGGTTAAAAGTATGCGGATTTTTCTGTGCCCAAGTGTTCTGCATATTTTCTTCCACGCGTTTACAGATACGACAAAACCTATGTTTGTTTCCCATTTCAATTTTGGTGGTGCTATTTATACATTTATTTTATTTTTATTTTTCACATTTTTTGTAAACTTTTATTTTTTGATATTTTTCGATTCATTCAACCTGATAATTTAAAATTAAGAAAATGTATGAGAGGTAAATATAAATGTGCGGATAACACCACTCTTTCAACTTTCGTGCATACTATTCTTCCACATTTTTTACTACGCTAGTGGGAGTTGTTGGCTTGAAGTTTCATCATTGGATTTAACATATTTGCCGACCTAAGGCAATATATATAGAGCTCCTCCAGATAAGATTTTTGTAAAGAAAAAGGTAAGCAAGGACGTCATGATCATTGATCGAAGAAAATATTGGCAGGAACGTTTCGTTATCAGCTTGATTAGCTATGGCCTATATGGATTTCCTTTTCGCTTGCTATCCTGATTTCAAAGAAATATATCACAAGTAGTTAGAAAGCAAGGAGACGTATAGAAAGTTATTTAGGCCAACAACATGCATGATGCTTATCTATCAATCAGATGAATGGACTAGTGAAATTTTATTTGAACCCATATAATTTCTTACTATACTCAACTTAAATTTTAAATGTTAGTTGTCTATTTTACCCTATTGCGTAATTACTATTAAGTACAAAATGAAATTAATAATAAAACTCAAATTTATCAATAAATTCACACACAATAATTAGACCCTAGCATCACCCTTTGTTTATCCTACGCTCATTATGGCTAAAACCTTAAGGGTGCGTTTGTTGCACCGGATTATCTCGGACTAGATTAGCTTCATGGACTAAGCTGGACTGGCTTAGACTAGACTAAGCTAGACTAACTTAGTGAAGCGTTTGGTGCAGTATCGGACTAAAAAGAAGGATAATAACAAACTACAATATTTTATATTTTTTAATTCATATCTAATAATATTATATTAATAATTCTATCATTTTTTCTTTCTTTCTAATAATACTCTCCTTCTCTCTCTGGAAGCCTCCATCCTTTTCTTCCTCGTTCTCTCTGTCCCACACTCTCCTTCCCTTTCCTCTTTTTTTCTGATTAACTGCCAAAAACAATTAAGAATAACAAGATTAACCAATGAGGCTAAGAGACCTCCAAGTCTATAAAAGCAACGACAATTCCTCCACACCTACACAGAGTCGCAGACTCACACTGAAACCATTAGATCCAAAACTGCGATCGCAACTTCTTCCTGCAATGGATTTTGCACCGCATGATCTCGGAGGTTCGAATTGAAACGCGGTCGAGTTCGAGCCGAGCTCGGATCTCAGTAGAGCAGAAAGAGAAGAAAGCGAGGAGAGAGGAAGAGGGGAATGCGGAATTGGCGAGGGGGAATGATGGTGGCTCTTGGCGTTTGTGAAAACATAGGAGCAGAGGAAGAAGCCCAGAACTCACAGATGGGCTCGTAGGGAGGAGGAAGAAGCAGGTCTTAGCAAGTCCTGTGGTTTGGGGAGGCCTTTAGTCCACACGAGTCCCCTTTAGTCCCACTTAACTTAGTCCCAGCACCTATCAAACATGGGACTGTAGTCCAGTCCAGTCCAGTCCAGTCCAGTCCCTCCTAAAGAGGTGAAACAAACGCCCCCTAATAGCTCTCGACTAACACTTATACCATTTGCCAAACTCATCAATTGTGTGCACATGAGATTGCAGAATATAGAAGGATTGGTGATGAGTTGATTTCATATTTATATATTTTACCCTGTTCTTAGTATAATTTGATAATTATTTTGGTAGAATGTTGATACTTTGCTTTATATTTTCAACATAGGACATTTGACTTCCTCTGGAGCGAAACGTGATCAAACGGACGAATTTTGGAGTAATTCAAATTGGAGGATGTTCGTGTGTTCCTTAGCTTGTTCATATCAAAATTTCAGTAATTTTTACCAAGCGATTATTTTCTGGTGATTAAATAAAGAAGCAGTGTGCGTTGTTGGAAAGTGACATTTTTGGGCTTAATTGCAGTTTTTGGAGCCCAAGATGATCTTAGATGGGTTCGTAGCCTTCTGGAGGGTTGTCCCTGAAATTGACTAAGGCTTCTTGTGGTTAATATATGTAACTTCTTAGGATGGACGACACGTCTTAAGGGTTATATGGTTTTTCAAAAGGTTTTCACAAAACTTAATGAGTCTTACATGTTCACATTCTATCTGGACACCATGGACGGGTTGCATGTTAGATATACGTTATATGTTGGAGGTTCCAAGTAGGATATATATTAGGAAAACCTAATCTTCAAAATATGCATGTGTAATTCATAAGTAATTGGAAGAACTACATAGGATTGTTAAGGTGACGGCGGAACCCTAGTGCTTTATCACTTTGAATTCTAAAAAATTGTTTCTTTCTCTTTCTTTGAAATTGCAGATTTTAGTTAACCTTTTACTTGAATTCATTTTTCTTAAGTTAGGTCACTAAATCACCTTTTTCCAAAACTTTGTTCTTAATAATTAGTTGAGATTTGGTTTGTGTAAATTTATTTAAATTAACTAGTTGAGATTTGGTTTGCGTAAATTTATTTAAATTAACCACTATGGAGAACGACCTTACTTGAGCCAACTATACTATGATAATCTTGTTTCTTTTTCAAGTATTTTAGGTGTTTTTAACCATTTATGTGCATGTGGTAAAAAACATATCAAGAAATTGACGCCCCTGCCAGAGATTGATTTTAAATAGATTTTTGTTTATCATATTCTCAATTAATTATTCCCGTATATATTTATAAAAAACATTAATTTTCGTTTTTTTTTTAATTTCTGCAGATTGTGAGCACTGCATGGTCTGTACCAGATCACAAAAGTAGCAATTGACAAATTTTGATCCAGAACTTGAACGAATAGTAAGGAGCAGAATCTGCAGTGGGAACCCTCACGGCAGGGAATAATTTTGCATAATCTGTTTATTGGGTTTTTGGACAGCGAAGAGGCTATGGCTTTTGTTCTACCAACAACAGGATAATCGTTGAAGGAGCCATTGGTAGCTCATGCCACCGAGGTACCTAGTTGCATTAGTTATTCTGAAGTTGAGGAAGGGTCCACATTTGAAATTTGGCATCACATGTTGGAGATTTTACCTTCTTTTCATGGTTTATCAACTGATGATCCTAACATGCATCTTACTGAATTTTTGATGGGATGCAGAAATATCTTGGTAAAAGGATTTTCAGCCGAATTTATCAAACTTATACATTTTCCTTACACTTTGAAGGATGAGGCAATGAGATGGTTACTTACACTTCCATCCGGAAGCATTACTTCGTGGGCCTAACTCGCGTTTTTAAGCAAGTATTACCCAACATCAAAGATGCTTGATATGAGTACACAAATTTAACATTTTCCCAGAAACCTAATGAAGCAATTCATGAAGCATGGGAACGTTACAAAGATTTGCTCCGGAAATGTCTGCATTCAGGCATTAATGGTGACACTCAAATGAATTTATTTTACAGAGGGCTAAATTTGGCAACTAAGACTTTTGTAAATGCTTCTTATGGAGGAACGTATTCAGACAAACATGCTCTGCAAGCGTATCAATTATTTGAGAAAATGGCAACATAATCTCAACAATGGGCGATTGATCTACCTCAGACTAGGGGTGTTTTTGAGATGTTTAGTGGATCTCCACAAATAGAAAAGATGGAGAAAAAGTTAGAAACTTTTGATGCAAAATTTGATATGCTTTTACAAAGAATGACAACACATGTGCAGTAGGTTGAGGTCCAATAGCTTACTGCAACAGCTTGTACCATTTGTGGCATCACAACGCATGATTTCATAGGCTGCCCATATAGGGACGTGTATACGGAACAAGATAATGCATTTGATAATTATTAGAGGCCTAGGAATGATCCGTATTCAAATTTTTACAACATCGAATGAAGAGATCACCTAAACCTTAAGTGGGATAAAGACCAACATACTAAACCACAATTTCAACAGTTATTACAGCAACTTGCTACACCAGCTAAAGCATCTTAGGAGGTCGCAATTGAGAAATTGATAGAACACACTTGGTCAAGTTTTGATGCAACCAATCAAAATATTCAGAACATGCAAGCAACCAGAAAGATTTATAGCAGCAAATGGGGTAGATTGCACTTCAGTGTTCGGGCAGAGAACTAGGAAAATTTCACAGCCAAACTGTCCCGAATCCACGCGGAAACGTAGATTGTAATGCTGTCAGAACATTGCGTTATGGTAAAAGTTATGACAACCGAGATGCAGAAAATGCAGAAAATAGTACTGAAAATTTGCTGTCAGCACATGTGCAGCCACAAACAGATTCTGAAATTTCTGCAGAATCTGCCCAGGCATTGGATAGATCCGAAAAAAACTGCATTACCTGATGTAGAAACTGTAGAAAATTCAGAACATGTTTATGTGCCCCCAATGCCATATCCCGAAAGGATAGAGCCTAACCAAAGAATAATCAGTTAACAAATTTCATGAAGACATTGGCTAAAGTTTAGATTAATCTACCGTTAATTGATACAATCAAGAACATTCCCTCATATGCCACTTTAATAAAAGATGTGTGCACAAAGAAAAAAAAGCTTGTGGATTTCGAAAAACTGATTCTTACAGAACAATGCATGCATATTGTTTATCTATCAACTGATTAATATAAGTATTATCATGAGTTTGTCAGAACGAGATTTAGAAGATTGGAGACATAAATAGGAAATTGTTTGCGCAATCTGTGGATGCAAATTTCCGACTTCTTCTTCATGAATGAAAATGCACCTGCAAAGCAATTAACACCTTAGGTTAAGGCCAAGAGCCTCACACGCCCACGATGAATGAGGGGGGAGGGGACTTTGGCTGAAGAACCTTCGATGCCAAAGTTAGAATTTGAGGGAGAAAATGTTTGAAGAAATTTGGAGAATTTGGTCGGCCTTATTTGGAGAAATGGGGACCGGCCACTTATGGTGGTAATTGGCAATAAATCAATTAATTAGACAATAAATCAATTAATTAGACAATTAATTAATTAATTGGGTAATTAATCAATTAATTTACTTTACTAATTAATCCCAATTTGAAAAGAATAATTGGGAGTTACCTTGTGGGGAGGATTTGATGATGATTGATGAAATAGGTTTTGAATAAATACCATATAGGTCACCTTTGACCTTGATTGAGTCGTTATTGTTTGCTGCTTGCGCGTGGGAATCCCGATGTGCCTCGAGGGTAATTTTGTCCTTTTAACCCAAAAGTCTACGTGTCGCCTCCATAATTTTCTTGATTATGTTTGCCTCCATAATTTTATCCTTTTACCATGCTGAATAGATGGTCAGATGTCATTTTGCAGAGTTGTGAAATTTTTTTTTTGCACATAAAAGCATTGTTGTTCCTATAGAGGATCATGGTACTACGGTAGTGCTTGAGATGTCGATCCGGATCTTCGTCTCCCTTATATAGAATGAAGTGAGACATAGTAAACTCGCGAGGTGGATCTATTCGTTCGATCTCATCCGTGAATGGTGATATGCTTATGTTGGTCATGTCTCGTCAAAGTGCATCGTTAGTAGTCTCGTTGCGTTAGAAATTGCGCATTCGTTCAGTCGGGAACCTCTCAACTTCTTATTGAATTTGCCTCTGCTGGGGCAGTGGAACGTTCGGCTGCCCTCGGTTGTGCCCTGTTGGTTTATGTCGCTCTTCTCTATGCTCGACTCATCTACACCGCGGTTGTGGTGCATATGACCTGTTCTTAGCAAGCGAACGGGCTGTTCGCAGGCTGTCGGTTGAACTTGAGTCGGATTGAGTGACTGCTTCTCTCCATCTGCCGTGTTGCCTACTCCGATATGAGGTGGAAAATGCTCATTGCGAGCCTAGTTGTGAATGAATACTTAGCCTGGAAGGTTGTCTATGTTGATAATTGGAGTGTGGGCTCAACTCTGAATGTATGCTCGTCTGTGGGTTTGATAGGAAGTGCACGCTTCTCCGCGCTCTAAGACAAGAGTATATGCTATCCCAAGGACCCAAGCGGGAGTGTAAACTGCCAGAATGCCCGAATCGTGGCTAGTTGAGGGGCTGCTTGCTGGGATGCTACTAGAGAGGTTCGTCAGCTGCCCTTGTCTTGCTTCGGGACACCTCGTCTGGGGCACACTGCATCTCGGTACATTGCAAAAGCTGATTCACCAAGGCCGTTTGCTGCACGAGGGCGTTTGTCAACTCTATGACTTGTCGGGAAAAGTGTTGTTCGCCATGAGAGATGAAATGGCTTGGATGGTAGGGTTCTCCATAGGCAGTTGAGGTGTAGTTGACTCTGGGTTCGAAATTTGAGCCGAGATAGGTCAAATCCGAAGAAACTTAGGGTGAAAATACCCCCGGTTTAATCGTCGGTCTAGAAATCTGAAGCCGGGACAGTTGAACTAATATTGGATTAATTTGAGTAGCTTAGAAGGCCACGGGAGTGGGCTGTTCCATGAGTGGCGCGCATGCGTGTTAGGCCTGAAATCAGCTCGGGATCGTCTTGGGCTCGCACCAGGTCGCGGCTTGGGCCGGCTCGCTTTGGGCTTAAGCCCGTGTGGTTTGGTGTGACGCGGGGTGCTGAGTTGTCCTTGGTGCAACTTGGGTCTGCGAGTCTTGGTCTTGGGTTTGGAGCTTGTTGGGCTCGCGTTGGCCTTGGGCTCGCGAGTGCTGGGTTGCTCCAATTGTTGGAGCTGCTTAGGCGTCAGCTGCCAGTGCAGCACCGTGGGCTTGAATATGGGCTAGCTGCCTTGTGGCACGGGCTTAGGCTTGCTGCTGCGAAATGACTTGCTCACAGTTGATAGTGGGCTTGCTGAGAGTTGTTGTCGTGGCTACTACCATGGTGGTTGTCATGGTGGTGCTCTATGGGGGTGGTGCCGCTCCACTCGTAATTGTGTTGAGCCTCGTAGATCACCGTGGTCCAAATTCTTGAATGTTGGAAGTTCCGTTTGTTGTGGTTTCTGAATTTCTAGTCATTGTACTTTTCTTTTACGTTTTATCAAAGAATTTTTATAAACAAAAATTCCAAGAATAAGAACATAAGAAAAATCTACAAATGAACAAGAAAACAAAAAACCTTGAATGCGAGAGTCTTATTCGAGCGTGTGAATCAAGAATCTCAATGAAAGCACCAATTTGTGGATGCAAATTTCCGCCGTCTTCTTCTTGGACGAAAATGCACACGCAAAACAATTAACTCTTTAGGTCAAGGCCAAGAGCCTCACGTGCCCACGATGACTGGGAGGGGACTTTGGTTGAAGCACCTACAATGCCAAAGTTAGAATTTGAGGGAGAAAGTGTGTGGAGAAATTGGGAGAATTTTAGAAGGGAATTCGACTCAAGTTTTTGGAGAAATGTGGAGGTATTTATACGGGTGTGGCCGGCCCGATTTGGAGAAATGGGGACCGGCCACTTATGGTGGTAATTGGCAATAAGTCAATTAATTAATTGGGTAATTAATCAATTAATTTACTAATTAATCCCAATTTGAAAAGAATAATTAGGAGTTACCTTGTGGGGAGGATTTGATGATGATTGATGAAATATGTTTTGAATAAATACCATATAGGTCACCTTTGACCTTGATTGAGCTGTTATTGTTCGCTGCTTGCAAGTGGGAATCCCAGAGTGCCTCGAGGGTAATTTTGTCATTTTACCCAAAAGTCCACATGTCGCCTCCATAATTTTTTTGATTATTTTTGGCTCCACGCCATCAACATGTCGATCAAGAAGAGTACTATCATGAATTTGTCAAAACATGATCTAATGGTTTAGAGGCATAAATAGAAAGTTGTTTGAGCCGAACAACATGCATAATGCTTACTATCAACCGATCAATAAGAGTATTATCTTTCTTCTTTTTTTTTTTTTTTTTTTTGAGAGAACAATACATAATCATTTATATATAGCTTTCTGACCATTCTTTACTAACTCATGCAATGCAATTATCGCGACGAAATGGTAAACATAATAGGCCCCAGAAGAGTATACTAAAACCAGTACTCTAGAAAGGTAGTGCAACTGTGAATCCAAATCGAATCACGATCCCACGATCAAATCTCACTTGTTCCCCCATCACATGGTCAGAGAAAATATCAATTGCCGGAAGAATGCCCGTCAATGATTTCCCACGCAAAAATACAAAATCCAATGTGGAGCATGTAGGAAATGAAAAATCAACCAAACTTCTGGGCACCATCTGCTCTCATAGCACGATAGAGAGGCCTGTATCGAATGACATATGAAAGAGGGCATCCCAATAAAGAATAATAGATCGTTGCAAGCAAAAATATTTTAACACCTACGCCTCTAATCCAACAGACGATAATCGCAATCACGTTGAAAAATAAGCAAAGACTATGCCTTGCCAACTTGCAAAAGCCAGATACTGTGGTCTTTGAGCATGTGTTGGTATTTCATTAGCTATATCATGGTGAGTAATCGCAACCACAGCATGCGTAATGCTTATCTATCAACCAATCAAAATCAATAACAGTATTATCATGAGTTTGTCAAAACAGAATTCAATAGATTTGAGACATAAATAGAATGTTGTGTACGCATGTATGTGACAATATGGATGAGAGAGAGAACGAATACTTCCAGGACATATATACAGTGTCATTTTGATGTTATGAAGACGCGTATTAAGACTTTTGGCGAGCAGCAAATAACTGTCCTATAAAACTAAATAAATAAAGGGCATTGAACTATAGGGCCCTTAATAATTTTCATCGAACGTTGAGAAGTGTAGTACTCTGTCGTTTCTTTCCAAAGTCGGCTCGCAATTATACGCTATAGCCAGTTATTCAGATCACCAGAACTTATATAAGATGGACAAAATCTCCAGAGAAATATAAACAT